AGCCATGGACACAGACAATAGTGATGTGATTGCCCCCCCCCCGGGAGGGGGGCACTGAGGAAGGTGGAGGAGGGTATAGAGGGGTAAATGGGTGATGGATAAAGACTTGACTTGGGGTGGTGAACATACAATACAGTGTACAGATGATATGTTGTAGAACTGTGCACCTAAACATTGTATAATTGTGTTAACCAGTGTCACCCTAATAAATTCAACAAAAAGGAAAAAATATAAATTTAAAAATTAAATAAATAAGAAAAACAAGATTTGAAACAGAATCTAATCAAATCTCCAAAAGTAAATTTCAGTTTACAGAAAACAAAGGGACATGTTAAATTACACCGTGAAAATAATGACCACCAAATCCAAACTGTGGAAAACTCTATAAGACTAATGACCCCTTAAATAAATAAATGATGTAGGGAGAAGATGAGAGGAATAACCAATTAGAGATTTAAAGAGATTTAAGATCAAAAGGAGAAAACTATAAAAAAATAAAAAAATAAAAAAAACACTTCAGAGACACATCGACCTAATGAAATGTGTGGACCTTATTTGGATCATGATACAAACCAACCAACCATAAAAAGACAGTTTGAGACATCCAGGGAAAACTGGCATGGACTGATGGGCTAGACGGCATTACTGCTAATTTGGCTGAGTGTGATAATAACACTGCAATTAGGTTTAAGTCTCACTGGATAGAATGATATATAATGTCTCCGATTTCCTTTACAATACACCAGCATAACTGCACAAAACTTCTACAGAGAAAATGGTCACCTTTTATTAGGGTTTTAAGAAAACCTAAATAAATGTAAAACTATAATGTTTATGGATTGGAAGTCTACATATTGTTAAGAGAGCAACAGTCTCCAAATTACCTACAGGTTCTATACAAACCCAATAAAACCCTAGATGTTTTGTTTTGTTTTGTTTTGTTTTATGAGCATCTGATGAGCTTATTTTGAAACATATGGAAATGCAAAGGCTTGGGAATAACAAGTCATGCCCTGGCCAGTGTGGCTCAGTTAGCTGGAGCTTCATCCCATGTACTGAAAGGTTGCTGGTTCGATTCCCAGTCAGGGCGAATCCCAGTTGGGTTTCAGGCTCAATCCCCAGCAAGGGCATACAAGAGGCAGCTGATCAATGTTTCTCTCCCAAAATGATGTTTCTCTCTTCCACCCTCTCTAAAATCAATGAAAAACTTTAAAAAAATAACAAGTCACATCAAAGAAGAAAAACAAGGTGGGAAGTCTTACTCAATCAAATATCTAGACTTACTACAAAAAGAAAGTAACCAAGATGATATGGTGTTGGCTGAGGAGAGACAGGCCTCTAGAAAAGGACTCAGTCAGACAAAGACTGTCATGAACAGGTACTGGATTATAAGAGGAGGCACCCTAGAACACTGGGGAAAGAATGTGTTTTTAATAAGCGGTATTGTGACAATTACAAAAATGAAGCTGGACACCACTTATACACACTAAACAAAAATTAAAATCAGATAGATTATAGGCATAAATGTGAAAGAATAAAAAATAAAGTCTTTGGAGCAATATAAAGAATATGTTTAAGATATTGGGGTGAAGGAAGACATTTTTTGAAAGCTTCAAAATGTACTACGGGTCAAGAAAAATGTGGATAAATGTAACTACATGGAAATGAATAGCTCTGGTCACTAAAAGGACACTACAAGGAGAGCTGAAACTCAAGCTACAGGGTGACGGAAGGTTTGAAATCTAGAATACACAAAGAATCTGTACAAATTGACAGGAAAAAGACAGACAATCTATCTCCCCACCCCCAACAAAAAATTTAAAAAGGCATTTCACAAAAAAGAAAAACAAAGAAATATAGAAGTCCAGCAAACATATGAAAAGGTGTTCAAACTTCTAAGTAAGGAAAACATAAATTAAAATCACAATGTGATATTGTTATATATACACAACCACACTGCCAGATTAGCTGAAAATTTTAAAGCTGGCATTACCAACTGGCAGATAAATTGTGGAACAAAGGTAGGACTGTAAGCTGATGCCACTTTGGGAAACTGGCATTGTCACTAAAGTAGGTTAGGGTGCTTGCTCATCACACAGTTCTCTCCTGGGTATACAGAAATGCCTACAATGTGCACCCAGACACAAAACTGTTCATAATAGTGAGAAAACAACAGTAGATGGAAAAATGTCAGAACACTGTTGTAAAAGAAGCAACTCAAACTATATGCAAAACCACAAAGTAACATATCCTACAGGATTTCATATATGTCAAGTTCAGAAACAATAAAATAAAATTATATCATCTGCAGGTATATATTTAGGTGCTAAAAGTGAAAGAAAATTAAGGATGTGATGAAGATAAAAGTTAGATTGGGGTACTCTGGGCAGGAGGAAGTGATGGTCAGAAATGGGGGACAGACTTTAAGGATGACTTGAGAAATGGCTACATAGGTACTTGCTTCATAAAAATGCCTTGGACTTTACATGTATATTTTATCCAATTATCTCTGTGTCATATTTCACAATAACAGAAGTCTTATAGAAAATTAAAGAAGAGAGATTAAAAAAGAAAAATCATCTGATAATCTCAATAGATGTGAAAGAAGCATTATATAAAATTCAGACTTCATTGAAGATTTTTAAAACTCTTAGTAAGTTTATTCTATAAAGTAAATTACCTGTACTCTTCGCATATGTCAACTATATCTTAAAAGGCAAACAAAGACTGAAAAACTATTAGAGATTCAAGGAGTCTAAAGAAACATAAAAGTTAAATGCAATATGTGATGCTGGATTGGATGTTGGATCTAAAACCCAAACAGATATATATATCTCCCAACCAGTGTGGCTAAATGGTTGAGTGTTGATCTATGAACCAGAAGGTCATGACTCAATTCCTGGTCAAGGCACATGCCTGGGTTGTGGGCTCAATCCCCAGTAGGGGGTGTGCAGGAGGCAGTTGGTCAATGATTCCCTCTCATCATTGATGTTTCTATCCCTCTTCTTTTCCCTTCCTCTCTGAAATCAATAAAAAATATTTTTAATATATTTTATTGATTTTTTTTTACAGAGAGGAAGGGAGAGAGAAAGAGAGTTAGAAACATCGATGAGTCTTTGATCAGTTGCCTCTTGCACACCCCCTACTGGGGATGTTCCCGCAACCAAGGTACATGCCCTTGACTGGAATCAAACCCGGGACTGACGCTCTATCCACTGAGCCAAGCCAGTGTTGGCAAAAAATATTTTTTAAATCTGATATAAAGGACACTATTAGGACAACTGGAAAATTTTGATTGAAATCTTTATATTAGACAATAGTATTGGGTCAAAGTTAAATTTCTTCATTTTTATCATTGTACTATGATTATACAAGTGAATGGTGAATGTCCTTGTTCTTAGAAAAATGCATAATGAAATATTTAAGAGGAAAGACAACATGGTATCTACAACTTACTCTCAAAATAAAAAGTAAAACTATAGAGAGAATAAAAAATCAAATGTGGCAAATGTTAACAATTGATGAATCTAAGTAAAAGATATACAATAACTGTTTCTATTCTTGAAACTTTTCTGTGTGAAATTATTTCTAAAAGTCTAAAAATAACCTCTTAGCCCTGGCCAGTGTGGCTCAGTTGGTTGGAGCATTGTCCCATGCACGGAAAGGTCACGGGTTTGATTCCCAGTCAGGGCACGTTCCTGGGTGGGGGGTTCTATCCCCAGTCCAGGCGCATGTAGAACAAGGGGGGAGGACACCTTTAAGACAAAGGTGGAAATGAAGAGCTCAGATAACAGGTAGCATTTTCAATAAATGGCACTGGGTCCACTGGATACCACATGAAAGGAAATATGCTACCTCGCATTATTCACAAACACAGAAAGCAATTCCAGGTGGACCATCAATCCAAATGTGGAAGGTAAAACAAATAAAACTTCGAGAAAGCAATATAAGAAAATATCTTGGTGGCCTTGGGGGAGGCAAATGTTTCTTATACATGACATGAAAAGCACTAACCATAAAAGAAAAAATGGATAGATCGTGAACTACATTTAAATTAAGAATTGCTCATCAAAAGACGCCATTCAGAGTACCATCATTTTCCGATCTGCAAAATTGGGATAATAACCAGACTCATTCAGTAGCAATTGCTGCGAGCCTGTGATGATTTAATAGATGTAAAGACATAGAATATAATTTTTTAAAGTTAGAGTGAATGGAAGGTAAGGAAAGAGACTCTGAGTGGCATCCCGTCTTTACAGAAGAATGATGTCCTCGGGGGAAGGTACGAAGGAAGGCGGCAGGAAGAGAATTCTAGAAGGAGAGACACACAATTGTCTGTAAGTGGAAGGAAAGGGTGAGCGTAATGGGTAGGAAGGAAGATGGAGACAGAGGTACATCTGAGGGAGGGAATGGACAAGAAGAGAGGCACTCTCCCTGCAACAGGAGGGAAGAATGCTTTCAGATACAGATTGGGGCAGATTGGAAATTAAAAGACATGCCTGAGTTTCTGCTTTCTTTGTGAAACAAGAGTCAAGGTCATCTGCTGAGAGTAGGAGGCATAATCTGAGCCTGGAGTAGATTCCAGTCAGCACCACAAGGGATGACATCAGATGCGGCAGGACAAGCTGCAGGAAAGTCCCTGAAGCACAGCGCAGTCAATAGGACAAGCCAGCAGGACTCTAAGGGGTGTGTCCCAGTCTCCCATGCACTCTACCTCTCCCAGTACTGCACATGGGAGAGAAGCCCAGTTACAATCCTCATTATCTAAACACCATGAAATTTCACCCACACTCCCTTCCTGACTTACCAGGTGGTCAGTAAAACAATAGTGAGAATAATGGAAAAGCCTAATATAAATGAACCCCAACATCCTGGAGGCAGCCCATAGGCCACCTCATCCATGAGTCCCCACAAAACTGTTACTGAGAAGTGACCACCAGTGTCAGCCTAACCCAGACACAACAAGGGGTGTGAACATGCGAAGAACAGGCGGAGCTTACCGGTTGAAGACGTTATCGCTGAAAGCATACTTCTCCAGGCGAGTGAGGGGAGGCAGGTTTTCCTGGCCTGGGATGTCCAAGAAGGCTGTCACCCTCATGCTGTCACAGTCTGGGCCATAGTCTTCAAATCCATCTGAAGGAGAAGAGGGGAAAAATACACTCCTAAGTGTGCACCGATGGTGACAGGTCACACCTGGGCAGAGGTATGGCCTTGCGGCCTGCTGTGCACTTCCACCGCCCTTTCCAGCTGAAGCCTGAGGATTGCAAAGCTGACCATCACCTAAAAGAAAGGGAGGTTTATCATCCAGAAGAAGGGAGAGACCAGAGTCATAAAGAAAACAGAATGCCCTTCTAGGTCCACTGGTCCCACGCCCTGCTCACCTCTCCTTGCGGATGGGGCACCCCTCTACCAGGGAACTCAGAAGCAAGTGACCAAAGAAGCTCACTTATGAAAATGGCCATGGAGTTCTGTGCAAACAGGTTTAAAATTGTCAAAAGAAAAACAAGTTTGAGCCCATAAGCAAGAATCTTATAGGAACCATGCCCATGTCTTGTCTTGTCTTACATGTGCCTGTCATACAGTTTCATCCACTCCATAACTCAATGCCCATGGACCCACAATGCCCTGGCTTGACAACACCCAACCAGACTCTCCACGTGAATGTCTGCAAGCTCCTCTGACTCCCTCTAGCCAACAATGAGCACTAGTCACACAGAGTCTTTCTCCTCAATCCTGGGCTTTCTTTCATCCCCTGCTAAAAGCAGGCACCTCATTCCATCCAATGGAGTGGGGTGGCTGAGCCCAGGGACAATGAATTGGATCGAACCCCCTACCTACTACTACCGGCTGTGTGACCAAAGGAAGTGACTTAACCTCTCTACGCATCCAAGTTGTCCTATGGAGGTTGGCTATAAAACCTCACCCTCACTCCATCAGGATGTTGGGAAAATGAGTTCATGTGGGAAAACAGTTGTGGGAAGGGGCCTTCAGTTATGAAGGGAGTAGGAGGAGAGGTTGTCACTCTTAAAAAATCAAAACTACAAGCCTGCCCTGGCTAATGTTTCTCAGTGGTTAGCGTGTCGATCTGCACACCAAAGGGTCATAGATTCAATTCCTGGTCAAGGACAAAGATCTGTGTTTCAGGTTTGTTCTTCATGGGGTGCGTGGGGAGGCAACCAGGCAATATGTCTCTCCCATCAATGTTTCTCTCTCTCTTTCCCTTCCCCCAACTTCCCTTCCACTCTCTCTGAAAAAGCAATGAAAAAAATATCCTCAGGTGAGAATTTAAAACAACAACAACAAAAACCTACAGGCCTGCATGACCTATGACTGTAGAGTCCAAATTTACACCACCTGCAAAGAGCAGGAGCCACACTAAGCTACCGGGAAGGTCACTGTCCAGATTTACTCCAATTTTGGCATCCTAGCAAGCAAATGAAAGAATCTGTTCTAAAGAGACTGTAACAATCCAATAAGCATGAAATTTCATGAAATAATACTGCTGAAGATAAATAGGCAATAAAATTTTTCAAACTATACATGGTTCCAAACCATCAAGAAGAGGAAGAGTTAGCAGACACAACAAATGAGAATTTGCACCTCAAGATTAAAAATATTAGAAAAGCCGGAAATGGATTATCAGTAGGATAAAAAAACAGATATCATAATGTCCTAGCCCAGTGGTCAGCAAACTCATTAGTCAACAGAGCCAAATATCAACAGTTCAGCGATTGAAATTTCTTTTGAGAACCAAATTTTTTAAACTTAAACTTCTTCTAATGCCATTTCTTCAAAACAGACTCACCCAGGCCGTAGTATTTTGTGGAAGAGCCACACTCAAGGGGTCTAAGAGTCACATGTGGCTCGCAAGCCGCAGTTTGCCAACCATGGTCCTAGCCAGTTTGGTTCAGTAATCAGAACATCAGCCTGAGGGCTGAAGGATCCTGGGTTCAATGCCCAGTCAAGGGCATGTACCTCAGTTTGCTCCATCCCAGCTCTGGTCAGGGTACATGCAGGAGACAACCAATCCATCTGTATATTTCACATCAATGTTTCTCTCTGCGTGTCTCTCCTCACCTTCCACTCTTAAAAAAAAAAAAAAAAAAAAAAGGAAAAATATCTTTAGGTGAGGATTTTAAAAATATCCTATATAATGAAAGGCTAATATGCAAATTGTCCCCTCAGGAGTTCAACCTACCAGGAGTTCGACTGCCTACTATGATGTACACTGACCATCAGGGGACGGCTCAAAATGAAGGAAGGCCCTGACCAGCAGCCGGCAGCCAGGGGAAGGAAGGCCCCAGCTGGCAGCCGGAAGGCCCAATCGACCCTGATCACCAACCAGGCCTGGGGACCCAACCCATGCATGAATTCTGTGCACTGGGCCTCTAGTATATCTATATATCTATATATCTATATATCTATATATCTATATATCTATATATCTATATATCTATATACCTATCTATATATCTATATCTATATATAAAACCCTAATGTGCAAATAGAATGAGTGACAGAACAACTGAACAACTGAAAAGTCACTATGACATGTGCCGTCCACCAGGGGGCACATGCAGAACATGGCAGATTTTGGCCTTGGCGAGATGGTGGAGCAGGTGAGACCAAGGCGCCAGTAGCTGTCATTAGTGTGAGCCTCTGGTGGTTACTGAAAATTCTTTGCTCCCAAGCACTGCAGTCGTGTCCAGCACTCACACCCACTGCTGGGGCTGCCACTCCCACCCACTGCCAGCACCAGGGGCCAGTCCTGATTGTTCGATGGCGCCAGTCCTGATCGTTCAGCGCCGTCAGCGGGTGCAAGCGGTGCCATCAATGTGTGGGAATGTGGCAGCAGGAGCTGCGCTGCTGGCAGACAGGGGACTTGGAGACCTCAGCGGGAGGGGCCAGGTGGGGGCTCAGAGGATGAGCAGAGACATGCCTCTGTGCCCACTGTAGCCTTGCAGCCCACAGTTCCTTTCAAGGTGCCCAAATTTGTGCACTGGGCTCCTAGCATATAATAAAATAAAATAAAATAAAATAAAATAAAATAAAATAAAATAAAATAAATAGGAGAGTGTGGGGGTGGGAAGAACAAGTACGTTTGAGAAAGAACCACACAGAAAAGAAAATAGAAACAATTTGATAAAAAAAATAAAAAAATTAAAAAAATTCAGTAGCTGCTTAAACAGCAGTTTAGACACAGTTCAAGAGGGAGTTGGTGAGCTGGAAGACTGATCTGACAAATCACCCAGAACACTAGACAGAGAAATAAAGAGTTGGAAAATACTCAGCAACAATTAAGGCACATGAAAAATGAAGTGCTGCCAGAACCAGTTTTGCTCAGTGGGTAGAGCGTCGGCCTCTGAACTGAAAGGTCCCACGTAGGATTCCGGTCCCATCCCCAGTGGGGAGTGTGCAGGAGGAAGTTGGTCGATGTTTCTGACTTTCTGTCCCTCTCCCTTCCTCTCTGTAAAAAATCAATAAAATATATATTTTTTAAAAGAAAGAAAAGAAAAATGGAGTGCTAAGGTCTAAAATTCAATAAAAATCCAATGGAAATTATAGAAGGAGGGATTAGTGAAAATAGGAAGAGGCAATACTTAGAAATTATGGGTAAGAATGTCAGAATGGAAAAAAGTATGAATATCCAATTTGAAGAATTACAAATCCTAAACTGAATGGTTAATAATAAATTAATGCTTAGATTGTAAGAATATCAATGGCAAAAATATAAGCATCTAAAGGAAACAGAAAAAATAAAGGTTATATCCCAGTTCTCCATTTACAAAATGTTAAGAGGTAAACATATAATCAGTAGGAGTGTGGAATCTTGAGTCAAAATACCTGATTATGAAAGCAAGCTCTGTCTCTTATAAGGTATGTCAACTCTGGATAAATATTTCATCTCTGATTTTGTTTTCTCACCCTAAAGTTGAATGCCTACCTGAGATGATTGTTGTAGTGTAGGTTAAATGACATCGGACAGAACAACAGTCACACAGACACAGTTACATAAGCACTCTGAAAACATCAGCTGCAAGTATTATAATTAAATTATTGATATTGTTTGTGTTTCTATCTCCAGTGTTCAGAGCAATCATAACAACTAGAAAGTGTGCATGTGTGGGTAAGGGGAAGAAGGGGGACCTCCTGGAAAGAAAAACATCAGTGAGGAGACACCTCTACATTAACTCAATCCAGACTCTGTCTTGACTCTTAATCGTGCATTTGTGTGGAATTCTCCACGGCATAGGTAAGGCTAAAAGAACTGGACTGAGATTTGCGAGACTATCCTCTATAGGAGAGACAGAGATTAACAATTTAACCTCAATCAATTTATGTACCTATTCAAACAAAACAAAAAATATCAAAACTCTTTGAAGGCATACTGCAGAGTTCAGAGAGTTTATAGCACATAATATTCACAATATCCAGGTTACAATCCAACCTTACTCAAAAAACAAAAAACAAAAACACACAGAAAAACATGAACTAGCTAATATAGAAAAAAAAATCAAAACAGATTGAACCTAAAAGAATCTAACTGTTGTAATTTCAGACAAGGATTTTAAAACAACTATCTCTCCCTTCCTCTCTGTAAAAAAAAAATAAAATCAATAATATATATATATTTTTTTAATAATAAAGCAACTATTATAAAATGCTTATGCTTGTAAAGAAAAAATATGCCTAAAATGAATGAAAACATAAGGAATTTCAGAAAAAAATATGGTAACTATAAAAAGACACCAAATAAAAATTCTAAAATGAAAATATCTGAAACTCAAAAATTCATTGCATGGGCATACCATACCAGAGATGATAAAATAAAGTCCCCAAATTCTCCATATTTGGTAAAAGAAATAAATGTACATAATCAAGGATCTCAGCAAATCCCAGGAAGATAAACACACAGAAAACCACACATAGAAACATCGTAGTCAAACTGCTAATAACCGAAGATGATAATCTTGAAAGCAACAGAAGAAAACAATCATTACATACAAGGAACAATGATTCTCATGATCTCTGACTTCTCATCAGAAACACTGGAGGCAGAAGACCTTCTAAACACATCTTTAAAGGACTGAAAGAAAAAACTGTCAATTCACAACCTCATATTCAGTGAAAGA